GAGTATTGGAAATATCCATATTCTGCAGAAAAAAAAACATAATAATTGTATAAAAATGAGAGTACACTAATAGAAATATGGAAGTCACCTAGGTGTCATGGGCCTAGAGAAGAGTGACTTCTTGTCATAGTTTGTGAATGCAATAGAATGGTTAGATTTTGAGATGCCTTGTTAAAGTAGAGGTGCTCTTGAGATTTTACTGAAGATAATTATATCTTGATAAAATGTTTTATCAGTGGAGATGCATATTTAGATAAAAAAAGATGTGTTCACCCAGAATTCAAGGGATGTAATATCATGAAAACCTATCTTATGAGTAGGTTCTGTTTTTCTGAGAGCTGCTTCCCTAGTGGCTCAGTGGTGAAGAACCCACCTGCCTATGCAGGAGCCACAGGAGACTTGGGTTCAATCCCTGGGTTGGGAAGGAAATGGCAACCCCATTCCAATATTCTTGCCTGGCATAGTGTATAGGCAGAAGAGCCTATAGTATATAGGCAGTATATAGTCCATGTGGTTTCACAGTAATGACTAAACCACAATAGGATCCAGTCACATAGATTTCCTAAGCTGTTTCCTATTGCTGTTTCCTAAGCAGCAATATTTGCATTGCATGACCTTTATTCCATAATGACTGGATGACTGAAAGTTCTTGGAAATTACATATGACCTAATCAGGAGGATATCAAATTTGAGAGTTTGAAATGGGATTACCAGAAAGCAAATTAAGCTCTGTAAGTGGTATAAACTCTTAAATACATAAATGGTGAATTTTTCCCATGTAAGAATATAAAAGAAGAAAAAACTAGTCTATTGGAGAGAAGATTTAGGAAAATCCCCCCCAAAATTTCATGAAAAGTGTGTATATAGAGAGGAATGTAGCAGTAGATATATCCATATTTTTGTCCACCCAGTTCTGTAATTCTCATTCTTAATCTCTTTCACATTCCTTACTGTATTCATACTCATTCAGTTCAGTTCAGTCGCTCAGTCATGTCTGATTCTTTGTGACCCCATGGACTGCAGCACACCAGGCCTCCCTGTCCATCACCAACTCCCGGAGTCCACCCAAACCCATGTCCATTGAGTTAGTGATGCCATCCAACCATCTTATCCTCTGTTGTCCCCTCATCCTCCTGCCCTCAGTCTTTCCCAACATCAGGGTCTTTCAAATGAGTTAGCACTTCACATCAGGTGGCCAAATATTGGAGTTTCAGCTTCAACATCAGTCCTTCCAATGAATACCCAGGACTGATCTCCTTTAGGATGGACTGGTTTGGATCTCCTTGCAGTCCAAGGGACTCACAAGAGTCTTCTCCAACACCACAGTTCAAAAGTATCAATTCTTTGGCACTCAGCTTCCTTTATAGTCCAACACTCACATCCATACATGACTACTGGAAAAACCATAGCCTTGACTAGATAGACCTTTGTTGGCAAAGTAATGTCTCTGCTTAATATGCTGTCTAGGTTGGTCACTGCTTTTTTCCAAAGAGCAAGCATCTTTTAATATCATGGGTCCCATTATAAAGTAAATATCACCGTAAGTGATACCTTTAATTTCTTTCTAAAACTACTTTACATTATTTTCTGACTTTATCATTACACAGGTCACAGCTAGCTTTCTACCATTTCCTTAATAGATATACTATTAATGAATATATACATGTCTTGGGCATAATACAAAGGATAATATTTGTAAAAAAACACCTTTTAAGATGTACTTTAGTTTGTGCAACAATTGAAGAAACTTTTGAGGTCATATAATAAGTTTGAGTCATTAGATGTGCAATGCTTACTAGCAGAGAAGTAATTATTGGAACAAATTGAGAGAACAATTAAGTCTGGTACAGTAAAACCTTAACAAAACGCTACCACTATTAAAACTGATTTTAGAATGGGAAAAAAGTAAAGGGTAGAAATGTTGTAGTTAAGAGATCAGGATAGAGTGCCTGATATCTTTTTTATGCCTCAATTCAATATGCATCACCTTAAGTCAGTCATTTAATTTCTTTAAGGTTCAGTGTTTCATCTATGAAAATTAGGTAGCAATAGCATCTACCTCAATGCACAGGCTATAAGTTTAAATAAGATTATAAAAGCATTAAACTGGATTCATAATTAAGCCCTCACCAACTATAAATTCAAAAAGATAAATATGACATCTCTATAATATTTGTTATCACCACGATGCACAATAGCCCTGAAAACTTCCATCAGAAGATCACGGGGTACATCATAATAGATCAGGTAATTTCTTTTTGCCAGTTCAACAGAAACATAATCCTTTAGATCAACTAATATGAGTCAGAGTCAGACACTGTTGCACTAGGGTTTTGTAAATGGGTAAGTCCTACTTTTGACCCCCTAATTAATTCAGTTGTCTAAACATAAAAAATAAACCAATGATAAAAAGGTACCATGTAACACAGTTAGCTACATTGTGATGTAGTCTCTTTTCAAGTGTTTTTCACCATTTATAACATCTTCCACTCCCACTTTCAAGCATTAACTATCTTTGTCATATTGAATATAACATGCATTCTACTATTGTATGTATAATCAAGCCCTTATCATAGTGAATTTTGTTGTTGTTCTTCTCTTGTCATGGATTCCTACATTCTGGAGGCCAGGGAATCATGTACATTTTCATTTCAGCCTACAATGCTTGGCACAGAACAAGCTGTAAAAAATTAGCAATATAATAGAAGCAAGTCGAGAATAATAATGAATACAGTGAATTCTTTCAAAGTATGGATTACCATGAAATCCAACATACTCCTTAAAAAGAGCAAACAGAATACAATTATCATTGAATAATCAGAAAACATTTTAAAAAAGCATAAAAATACCAGAGCCATAATATATTTAAAAAAATGAAAAACAGCATGTGATTGTGCTTAGTCACTCAGCCGTGTCTGACTCTTTGTGACCCCATGGACTGTAGCCTGCCAGGCCCTTCTGTCCATGGGATTCTCCTGGCAGAGTACTAGACTGGGTTGCCTTTGCCTCTTCTTGGGAATCTTCCCAACCCAGGGATCGAACCCAAGTCTACAGTGTCTTCTGCATTGAAGGCAGATTCTTTACCGTCTGAGCTACCAGAGAAGCCATAGAGTTCATAGATTTGTTGTTGTCGTTCAGTTGCTCAGTCATATCTGACTCTTTGCCCCTTAAACAAATGACTCCATCATATTTATCTTTGCTTCCTTAGAGAATGTCTTTAAAATAATCTTTGTTGTTGTTTTACTGGTTGCAGAGTTAGTTTCATGTGTTGTTTGCATTATCAGAGAAATGGCTTCAGAATGTCTTCCTGTATTATACCTATGAAAATCAATGAGCTTTCTTCAGTAGCTCTTAGTTGTTCTCCACGTAAGTGTGTTTTAAGTTGCTTCAGTCCTGTCTGACTCTGTGACCTCATGGACTGTAGCCCACCAGTCCCCTCTTTTCATGGGATTTGCCAGGCAAGAATACTGGAATGGGTTGCCATGCCCTCCTCCAGGTGATCTTCCTGACCCAGGGATCAAACCCAGGTCTCTTAAATCTCTGCCATTGGCATGTGTGTTCTTTACCCCCAGTGTCACATGGGAACCCAAATAAAATTCTTTCCAAGAGTTACATTCAAATTAGCAAGTGTTTGGACTACACAGATAAGCTAAACACTGTGCTATCACCTGAGATCATCAAGATAAAATAGTCTCTTATCTGTAGGGGAAAAAAATCTAATGCTGTCTTCCCAAAGGAAATTAATAAACAAAGTTATCTTTAAAAATTACCCTATGAAATAATATATGTATATGCAGCAGTTGTGTGCTCTCACAGACATCACTCTGCTTATGTAATAAAAAATCATCATGTCCCTACATATTTCCATTTAGATCCTCCTCCAAAATATTATTATGTGCAGGCATCAATTTATATACTTAATTTAATATTAAATATAAATTTTCATAATACCATAATAATTGTTACATGAGAGATTTAGTTCTAATTCCATTCCACAAAATCCTATTTGGTCCATAATGTCCCTGATGTATTTTATTGTCCTCATAAAAACATAAAAGCAAACCATTTTACTCACCAATAATTCTTTGAAGAAGTGTGTCCAGAGCCTAACATAGAACCCTAATAATATATCTCTTCAATGCAATTCAAACATTCAAGATCACGGACTGCTTTACATGGAGCTATTAGCTTATGCATAAATTCTAGGTTGATGAAAGACACTGGGAACACAGTGGACAAATAGGCACTTGAAATAAAGTGAAATCCTCATCACTGATGAGGTGTGTGGCAGAAATAGATAATTTGTGGGGCACCTAAGACTTGTGGACCTGCCCGTGGAGTGTCGATAGACAGTGTGTTTTTCCATCTGAGTGAGACCAGTTTGTTTATGATGTGGGTCACAGTATACCTCCCCTGCAGTCTCTTCCTTCCCTTTGTGTCACTGGAGTTCACATGTCAAAGAGGGTGATATCACAAGTTGGAAGGAGTCTGGATTCCTGAGTCACTCTTTGGAGTAAAGCCACATGTTCCCCAATGAAAAACATTTGAAATAAACTTTGTATGGGTGAGAAATAAACTTTTATTGGATTAAGCCACTGAGATTTTTGAGTCATTTATTGCCAGTCCTACATTGCTCAAGCCAACATAGGGGTCAAGGAGAATGTGATTTGAGTTGACTGATGGGCGGGGCTGGAGAAAACCTACTCTGCTCTGCTCTTTGCTCTTCTTACATTTCACAGTTTTTCTACATTCTGCCCTCTTTAAAAATTGGTGCTCAGAAAAGCTTGATAGGATCACAACAGAGAACAAGATAGGTGTAAAGCATTAAGAAAAGAGAAATAAAAACAGAACTCTCTCTTCTTTTCATTTTTGCATATGTTTTCAATGTTTAGCATGAGAGGCTGGAGTAGGAGGGGAGGGTGGATGAGGCATGCAATGAAAACTAGTAATAACATGAGTTTTCTCTTTATGTCTTCCTTCTTCTATTTTTGATTCCACAGTTACCTACCAGAATTAAAGTGGCAGGTGTGAGTGAGTCCCAAGAAGAGTCAATTAAAGTATATTTCTACGACAGTCAGCCTCAGTAAGTAAGGAGGGAGAAATACATAGTATTGGTACCTTAAGTGAAGAAATGCATATGAATTAAGCCATTCTCACAGTATTGCTCAAGATGACTGCTTATGGTAACACCCATAAGTCATTTTAAATTTTTTTTTAAATTGATTCAAACCCTTTAAATTTAATAACATGCTGACTGTAAATATATTGTTTAACCTCAGGTGAAGAAGATTGACATATTCAAAGCAAGTTTTCATGGCATATTACTGTTATTGGTATGTGCAGATGCCTTTCTTATTTTATGTATCTGTTTCCTTTTAGTATCATATTTTCCATCTCTTCTTTCCTCAAGGCAGCTATTCTATTCTCCATAATGTGTTATTTTCATTTGTATGAGTTTCTTTGGAGAGTTTTTGAGTTTGCATTGAATAGTATAATGGATGTTTTCAGACTGAGAACAGTCTAATTAAAATGATGATGTAATATTAATTTGTGATAGACTAAATTTGGTACACTCCACTACCTCAAATAGAAGTCCTCAAGCAATGCTCTTAGGAAACATTAAATACTAGACCAAAAATGCTACCAAATTAAGATAAGGTGATAATAGTATCTCAAAATTGGCAAACACACACAGACACATAATATGCATATATGTGTAAATGACTCAGACTGCCATAGCAAAATAACACATATTGCATGGTTTAAAAAATAGAAAATTATTTTATCCCAGTGCTGAAAGCTGGAAAATGTAAGGTCAAGATCTAACAGAGTTCAGTTTCTAGTGAGAGCTCTCATCACAGCTTGCAGATGGCTGCCATCTTTCTGTGATTTCACAAGGTGGAGAGGTATCTTTTTATCTCCCTCTTCTTATATGGTCACCAATCCTATCAGATTAGGGCCTACTCTTGTCCCTCATTTAGTTTTAATTGCCTCCTAAAAGCTGTATCTCCAGATGCAAACACATTGGGGGTTAGGGTTTCAACATATGGATGGCAGTGGGGGATGGAGCAGTACGCAATTCAGACCTAGCAATGTATATCTCACACACAGATGAAGCCACACACATTGGAGAGAAATTTCTCTATTATTGAAGTTGTAGATCAAAAAGTTTCTTGTGGCATTTATTCTTTTGTCTTTAAATAATATACAACCTGATGCCATACATTTATTCATTATTTTGGCAAATAGTTATTTAAAAGCCTAGTACATATGAAACATTGTTTCAAGTTCTTAAAATTAATCAGAGAAGATGTGAAAATTTCTGCCTGGTTGTAGCTTACATAATAATAGGTGAATATTGACAATAAATAATAAACAAACAAAATGAAAAGGGAATTATACAACGTGTTAGAAATTGAAGTCTTCTGTGGAAAGAATAGAGAAATTTAATAGGGATAACAATGGAGGATCAGCATGTCTCATAGAAAAAGTAGTATTGGGGGAAAATTCAAAGGATATTAGGCAATTAATCATACAACTATCTGAGAGAAGAAGATTCCAGGCAAAGGAACTGTGAGATCAACTTGTTGAAGGAGAGAATATTTAAAACAGTAAGAAGACAGTGTGGCTAAAGCAGAAAAAATAAAGATTGAAAGAAGTGGAAATGAGTCCAACCTAACTTGCATAAAATTGCATAGGCAATTAGTTGTAAACTTCTTGGTTTAAACTGTGAGTGAAAATGAGAATCATTGGAGCATTTGAAATCTGGTTTAAGATTTACAAGAATTAATGCTGTTGCTGTGTTGAGAACTAAAGAGGAAGGATGGCAAAAGTGGAACCAGAAACCCGCTGAGTGGCTATTAGAGTCATATAGGCAAGAGGCAATTGTGTTTCTGATGAGGCTGGTAGCACTAGAAGTTGTAGTAAATACTGGGATCCTGAACATATTTTGAAGGTAGTGTTCAAAAAGAATTACTGATGGTTTGTGTGCAGGTAATTTAGCACTCAAACACACAGTTGATTTAAGTTTATTATATTATGATCACTATCTCCTGCTGGAAAAAACAATAGAACTTTCAGCAGGTCACAAACCTAGTTATAAAGCCAAATATTCTGGAAAATAAAAATGTTTCTATGAAGTAAACTGGGGTAAATCCAGCATAGACTAGCTCACTGTATCTCATGTGTTAGACTCCCTTGGTGCTCTAGTGGAAATATAACTTTAAAGTAGGCCAAATGCCTGGTTATTTGTCTTGTAGGTAGTTTATATATTCAGCTCTATACTTCCTAAGATGAACTGACAGCTTAGTTTTGAAATACATTCAGTCGTCTGTAGACAGTAGCATGATGTGTTCTTTTGGCAGTTCAGTTTAGTTCAGTCGCTCAACTGTGTCCAACTCTTCACAACTTTATGAACTGCAGCACATCAGGCCTCCCTGTTCATCAACTTCTGAAGTTTACTCAAACTCATGTCCATTGAGTTGGTAATGCCATCCAACCATCTCATCCTCTGTCATCCCCTTCTCCTCCCGCCTTCAATCTTTCCCAGCATCAGGGTCTTTTAAAATAAGTCAGTTCTAAAATAAAATAAAATAAGTCAGTTCTTCACATCAGCTGGCCAAAGTATTGGAGGTTTAGCTTCAGCATCAGTCCTTCCAATGAATATTCAGGACTGATTTCCTTTAGGATTGACTGGTTTGATCTCCTTGCAGTCCAAGGGACTCTCAAGAGTCTTCTCCAACACCACAGTTCAAAACCATCAATTCTTCAGCACTCAGCTTTCTTTATAGTTCAACTCTCACATCTATACATGACTCTTGGGAAAACCATAGCTTTGACTAGATATGCCTTTGTTGGCAAAGTAATGTCTCTGATTTTTAATATGCTGTCTAGGTTGGTCATAAATTTTCTTCCAAGGGGAAAGCATCTTTTAATATCATGGTTGCAGTCACCATCTGCAGTGATTTTGGAGCCCCCAAAAATAAAATTTTAAGCTTTCACTGTTTCCACAGTTTCCCCATCTATTTTCCATGAAGTGATGGGACCGGATGCCATGATCTTCGTTTTCTGAATGTTGAGGTTTAAGCCAACTTTTTCACTCTCCTCTTTCACTTTCAAAAAGAGGCTCTTTAGTTCTTCTCCACTTTCTGCCATAAGGGTGGTGTCATCTGCATATCTGAGGTTATTGATATTCTCCCCGGCAATCTTGATTCCAGCTTGTCTTTCCTCCAGCCCAGTGTTTCTCATGATGTACTCTGCATATAAGTTAAATAAGCAGGGTGACAATATACAGCCTTGATGTACACCTTTTCCTAATAGGAACCAGTCTGTTGTTCCATATCCAGTTTTAAAAGTTGCTTCCTGACCTGAATACAGATTTCTCAAGAGGCAGGTCAGGTGGTCTGGTATTCCCATCTCTTTAAGAATTTTCCAGAGTTTGTTGTGGTCCACACAGTCAAAGGCTTTGACATAGTCAGCAAAGCAGAAGTAGATGTTTTTGGGAACTCTTTGCTTTTTTGATGATCCAAAGGATGTTGGCAATTTGATCTCTGGTTCATCTGCCTTTTCTAAATCCAGTTTGAACATCTGGAAGTTCATGGCTCATGTACTGTTGAAGCCTGGCTTGGAGAATTTTGAGCATTGCTTTACTAGCATGTGAGATGAGTGCAATTGTGCAGTAGTTTAAGCATTCTTTGCATTGCATTTCTTCGGGATTAGAATGAAAATTGACTGTTTCCAGTCCTGTGGCCACTGCTGAGTTTTCCAAATTTGCTGGCATATTGAGTGTAGCACTTTCACAGCATCATCTTTCAGGATTTGAAGTAGCTCAACTGGAATTCTATCACCTCCACTACCTTTGTTCATAGTGATGCTTCCTAAGGCCCACTTGACTTTACATTCCAGGATGTCTGGCTCTAGGTGAGTGATCACACCATTGTGATTGTCTGGGTCGTGAAGATCTTTTTTGTATAGTTCTTCAGTGTGTTCTTGCCACCTCTTCTTAATATCTTCTGCTTCTTTAGATCCATACCATTCTGTCCTTTATTGTGCCCTTGTTCGCATGAAGTGTTCCTTTGGTATCCCAAATTTTCTTGAAGAGATCTCTATCTGTTCCCATTCCATGGTTTTCATTGATCACTGAGGAAGGCTTCCTTATCTCTCCTTGCTGTTCTCTGGAACCGTACATTCAAATGGGTATGTCTTTCCTTTTCTCCTTTGTCTTTCACTTCTTTTCTATTCACTGCTATTTGTAAGTCCTCCTCAGACAATCCTTTGGTCTTTTTGTATTTCTTTTCCTTGGGGATGGTCTTGATCCCTGCCTACTGTACAATGTCATGAACATCCATCCATAGTTCTTCAGGCATTCTATCTATCAGGCCTAATCCCTTGAATCTATTTGTCACAGTAATCTAAGTCTATGCCCTGACCAATAATGCTGAAGAAGCTGAAGTTGAATGGTTCTATGAAGACCTACAAACCTCCTAGAACTAACACCCCCAAAAGATGTCATTTTTATTATATGTGACTGGAATGCAAAAATAGAAAGTCAAGAAATACCTGGAGTAACAGGTAAATATGGCCTTGGAGTACAGAATGAAGCAGGGCAAAGGCTATTTACAGTTTTGCCAAGAGAATGCACTGGTCATAGCAAACACTCTTCCAACAACACAAGATAAGACTCTACACATGGACCTCACCAGATAGTGGACACTGAAATCAGATTGATTATATTCTTTGCAGCCAAAGATGGAGAAGCTCTGTACAGTCATCAAAAACAAGATTGGGAGCTGACTGTGGCTTAGACCATGAACTCCTTATTGCCAAATTCAGACTTAATTTGAATAAAGTAGGGAAACCACTAGACCAATCATGTATGACCTAAATGGAATCCCTTACAATTATATAGTTGTGTTGGCAAAGTGCCTTAAAATGAGAGCTATCAAGGTCCATTGGTTATTTGGGCTCAAGAGTCCCTCTGAAGGCATACCTGGAGAATGTTAATCCTGGATAGAGTCTCACTTTTGGCCAAAATCATGTTTGAGGATGGTACTACAGCAACCGTAAGAGTCTACTCACTAGAGTCTACTTTTATATGCTCTTGGTTTCTAATCGATTTCTATGCTTATATTTTGAGGTTGACTTTGGTGAAATTTGCCATTTTGTTCAAGGAATGTCTGTATACTTCCCAGGTTAGACATTAACAGCCTAAGAGCTATGAGGTCAATGAGAAATACAGATTTTACCTTCTAGAAGCTTTTGGAAGTTCAACCTCTAGTTCTGATATTTGGTTTTCATTGAAGGTATAATACACCACCCTAAAGTGATGCAGGCTAATTCTGTTGGCCCATATTTACCAGCAT